CTGATGATCTCATGTAAGATCGTCAGTGCTTTTCCGGAAATACTATGTTGCTCCCGTTTGGGCAAAAGTCTTTTTCCGAAAGACTTTTGCGCAAAAGGGCCAGTGTAAACAGCACAGTAGTGTTTTCCACAAAAAAGCCCCGATCACGAAAATGGCGATTGGGGCTTTTTTGCGGAAAAGCGCATTTAGATTGGCCATGGACGCTTTTCCGCAAAAAGTGCTTTTGCGGAAAAGCACCCTGCCAATCTAGACGTGCTTTTCTGAAAATGCTTTTAACTGAAAACTTTTCTGTTAAAAGCATTTTTGGAAAATCATGCCAGTGTAGACGTAGCCGCTAGCCTGAATGTTTCTACTTTTTCCAAGATATGCCTACACAGCAGGGCTAAAGTTGAATTAAACTGTGCAACTTGAGCTATGTCAATTTCACAACTTAAGTCAAAATAGCTTTACTCAGCTTTTGACACTGTCTACAAAGTTGGAAGTGGAAGGAAGAACACATTTCCTTTGACTTCCCTTGTTTCTCATAAAATGAGGGTTACCAGGAGTCAGAGTAGGAAGTCCTTCAACTCGCCATTATTTTGAAACAATGGCTTGTAGCATAGAAGATACCTTTTGTTATTTCAGAGTAACGTTAGTTATGCTGCTGTGTAGACATAGCCACAGAGAGTAGTACATCTTCAAAATGCCGTGTTCTCAATGTCACAGGATCAAAACTGATCCATGTTGTGATGGGTGTGTGTGTAACCTTGCAACCTTGTATTTTATGACTTTAGGAAGATATATTTTCTAATCTTCAGTATTTTGGTCTTTCAGAAATGCTTTTGAATTTAGAATCTGAATTTGAAAAAGGATAAACTGCTATACAGTGGCATTTTGGGAAATTTTTTTTGATAGGATGAGCCTCCTTAATTTTTTAAACCACAGTTAGCAAAGTTCATTGTCACAGGATACCAATAAGACCAAGAGCTTAGCAGGATTTGAAAACAGGATTAGCATTTCTTGGGACTTTGACAATATACAGAGCTACAGTAGTAAAAATAAAATCAAACAAAACAAAACAAAACTGAAACTCTTTTGTGGGAGGATATAAGCCATCTTCTGCTATTGTAGGTTGGGAAGAAAAATCACTATGGGCAAATTATTCCATGACTGCCTATTGCAATGTGTCTTGCATCTTCATTTAATGTAGCTGGTATTGATCACTGTCACAGACATGATATAGGATGAGATGGATCTACCATGGCAATCCCTGTGTTTCTAGGTTACAGTTTTTGAAAGATGGCTCTTTTTTTTTACGATACATGTTCTTGATTCTACAAGCTAGTTTTCCAGCTGTGGCCACCAGACTACTGATGTTAGAGACCTTTATTACAAAAGTAAAAGCATTTGTAAGTTTCCCAAAAGTGATGATTTGGTTACATGTTGCCAAAAATTTTAAAAATTCTGCACCAAAAGATTAAAAATTCGGCGTGCAATTTTTAAAAATTCGGCACACTTTATTTGTCAAAATAACACTATATAATCATGCCAGTTTCACTTATGTTGGTAATTTATTTCAAAATACCAGTCAGCAAATATGTATGTAAAAATACAGACACACTAAATTTCTCCCCTCCCAGGAGTACAATTAGAGAAACCCCTATGACAGTTCATTTCCTGTTTCTCTGCCACTTCTTCCCAGAACCCGCTGTGTTCCCCCTCCCCCCCCCAGCCCAGACACCCACATCCACTTTCCCCAGAGCCCAAGGATCCAGAAGTTGAAACAGCCTTCTGCTGGTCCCTTGACTTGTATGGAATTTTCTTCATGCCACCTACTTGCTTCAGAGCATACTTAATCCTGAAGCTTCCTGGATTCCTCCAGTTTCCTCTCCACCACTGGAAGTATCTTCTGTTTGCAAGGTGGGCTTTGCTATTTCAGCAGCTCGTTTTGGAAGCTAGCAGGTCTGCAGCCTATTTATATGGGTGAAAAGAAGGAAATTCTTCATGCACAATTTTAATTTCTGCATTGCAAGGGGCAGAATTCTTCAAGGAGTCCTTGTAGATCAATTCAGATTCTTTTAGAATTTCCAGAAGTTTTTGATCAAGGAACTTAATAACAAATGCCCATCGCCAAAATAAAACACAACCCTTTGTACTGCTGCATGGCCTTCCTTTGGTGTAAGTTGTGAACCCATTTGCAGACAGTTCTAAAACTGGAGCATTAGCAAGGATACATGGAGAGACAGAACCAAACCAGAAAGAGACCTGGAACTTAGAGCAGTGGGACTTGAGAGGCAATTAAGTAAATCTCATTAGTAATAAAGATAGAATATATTTGGAGAGAGTCAATAGGGGAAAGATGGTGGTAGATACTTAGTCAAGTAGCTATACCAATCCCATTAAAGTTAGTTTGTTTAAATCTTGCATCTATATTAGTATTACTTACTTTTTGAGGTAACTAATCACTATAGTAGTCTCCAGGAAGATGTGAGATTCGGATTGGAGGTGTGCCCACTAGCTGATTTTGATCTAAAGATGTAGTGCACTGTATGAAAGTTGCCATTTTGATAGTAATTGAACTTTTATTAGGTCTCAATAGAGACTTGAAGGAGAGCTCTGTGAAGCTTGAAAGCTTGTCTCTTGCATCAGCAGAAGTTGGCCCAAGAAAATATAATAACCTCACATACTCTGGCACTTTAATTACATATAAACAGATAGGCGCAGATTGTCTGTGAATAGAAAAATGTCTGTGGTTCATAATGCGTCAGTTTTGTTACAGAGCTTCCAGTGTATTTTTACTGTTCCTTGGGAAAAGATGGCTTCATTTATTTATTCATATTATGTAATGAGCAAATGTCTCTGAAAGCCTGCTGGATACAGGAGACCCTTGCGATTCACGGAATTACTGTTTGCGGTTTTGCGTATTCATGGGTCTCTCCTGTCCCCCATTGCACCCCTCCTTGCCTGGTGGGGAAACACAGCTTGGGGGAGGGGCATTACCAGATGTCAGCAACAATCAGGATCCCTTCCTCCCCTGCACTAATTGCACTTACTGGGAGCCATGGGTAACTGGTGACCAGGAGCTGTGCGGAGCTCACCACAGCTCCTGGCCTCCATGGTGCATACCCCACAGCTCCCAGCAGCTGCAGTGAGTTTCGGGAGCTATGGGGAGCTCACCGTGGGACCTGGGAACTGCAGGGAGCTCACCACAGTTGCTGGGAGCTGCAGCCCTCAGTATTTGTGGATTTCACAATTTGCGGTGGTGCCAGGAACACATCTACCACAAATGGCGAAAGTTTACTGAGTTTCTCTTTTTCTGATTGGTGTGAATTTTCATTTAAGTTATCCTGAAATGTAGTACAAATAATATGGGGTGATGGAGGAGAAGAGACTGCAACATTTATAGTGCAGTTCTGTAGAAATGTAGTATGATTTTAGGGTTCTGTTCAGATTAGTCAAACACAGAAGCATATAAAACATTGTTAGAGATAATAGAAATGTATTACAGTTAATTCAAGGCTAATCAAAGTGAGCCTTGAGATAGACATCATAATAAAGCAAATATGAATGAGGGATGTTAATGGGTATCCAATAACTGGGTGATGCTTGCTGGCAATCGCTTAATTGGCAGCCCAATTTGGGGGCTGTTCTAGCCAGCCAGGCCCACCGCACTGCAGGATCCTGGTTAACTGGTTAAATGGAATGTTTAACATTCTGTTTAAACTGTTAACATTTATAACCGGGATTTTACATCCCTAATATGAACTAGTAAATAGTAAGTAAATACGACCCATTACACATTTAAAAGACTTTGTGATCTTGGGAAGCACTTAGTAATTTTCCCAGAACTCTTATGACATAGTTTAGATTTAAAGCTTAAATGCTTAACTACTTCCATATAATCATCCAAACTAGTTTTACCTTCCATATGCTTCCAAATGTTTGGCTTCATGACCAAATGGCTATGGCTGCATTGCTGTGTTTCCTTCAGTTTACCTTTTTTCATGGGCTTATAGATTTTAAAGTTCTGCCTAGGGATGTAATAGTGTATTTGATTTACAGATAAGCAAAAGCTTATCGATTAATGCTATAGACTACACGCATCCCTCCTCCCCAGGCCATTACATATTTTTATCAGGGTAGCCAGCAGCTTTGCTCAGTCCTGGCTTGTGTTGGGTCTGGGACATACCACCACTGTGGCTCTGCATGCAGCTGGTCCACCAGGGGATCTGGTTTTTAAACTGGTTCCCCTCGGGGACCAGCCCCTGCCTGACACCCTGTGCTGCCTCTTCTGATACAAAGTGTGGGATGGTGGGGAGCTCCTCAGGAGCGAGGCTGGAGCACACTTGCTGCCGGCCCCACCCCCGGGGACTATAGAATAGTTGAGTAACTGATAAGAATTCATTAGGTTAATTGACTGTTCAATTAACCAATATTTAGCATCCCTAGTTCTGCCTTGATCATTACCTGCACGTTTTAGAAATGTAGATTTACAGCTAAGAATTAACATCTGTGGTGCTTTCTGAAGCATGACTGAAGTGCTTTGTTACTGTGTAACTCACATCTAAACAAACTCTGCAGAAAGCTGGGATAATGTGCTAATTTACATCCTATGTTGGTTTAGAAGTCTTTTAGTACAGAGTTCTACAGTGGATGAATCTAAAGATTGTTAAAAATCTATCCTATGATTTTTGTTGTCTGAGGTCAGTACTAGGAACACTAAGATATATTTCAGGAAAATATTGTCTAACTATAGATTATGTAGTATTTCACTGGAGTTAGTGAAACAAAACCTGGCAAACTAAAACTGTTGAAACGAATGCAGAGGGGCTAAAATTGGAACATTCTAAAGTTCTTCTTGCAGCGCTTTTTTGAATGACATCATTAACTTGCTATTTTAGTCACTGTTTTCATTTGTTGTTGGACCTTGAACCATTTTAGGATTTGCTACATTATTAAATCCATAAAAATAATAAAACATAAAAGCAAAGCATTCCAACAAAGTTTTTTTTCCTAACCAGATCTCGAACCACCAAGACCAAAGGCTCCGCAGTCTTAACTAAACATCAGAAGACACCAGAATCAGTGTCTCCGCCAGGTACAGGTGCTTAGTATTCTTTAATTTATTCCTTGTTGGAACTTGCTAAGAAATGAGACCTGATACATCCTGCAATCAATATGCTGAATGTTACATTTCATCTAGTTGCTACTACAGCGCATGTGTGTAGTTTGGAGAGACTCACTGCAACTTGGATATATTCAACCAAGCTCTGTTAGCTTTTGGGAATCGGCATTTATATCTCTTACTACTTCAATATCAAAGTAATAAAATGGAAAATGAGATTGCCTATCTTTTAGAATATACTGAAAAATTGTACTCAAGTTGAATCCCTGGATTAACTGAAAACACAAAAATGACTGATGAGACTGTTTTGGAATCTTGGATCTGAGAGTTATGTCAACTCAAAACACCCAGTCATCCTGACTTTGTTGAGAATTACTTGGATGATGCCAACTCTTTGTGTTGATCACAGTCCAGCTCTTATATGTAGGTTGCAGATCCAAAGGAGACAGAAAAGATACTTGTGGCTGTCTAACAGCAAAAAGAAATGCTGCATAAAGGGAGCTCTGTTATCCTATTTCTTGGCATTTATGCAACAATTCAAATCAAACAGAGGTCTTTTTTAATATGCATGTAAACATTTATCAACAACCACTTGGAAGAGCATACTGTAGATTGTGAAGCTATGAGTCTGTTACCAGGACAACACATTTTTATTCTGGTACTCTGTCATCAGAAGGGTTTTTTTTTAAATCTGACAAACTCAGTTGCTGGAAGAATTCTGATATCCATTTGGAAAAGGGTGTTGTTTGAATGACTGAATTATATTGCAATGTGAAATCAATATTTTTTTGCTTTGAGAACAAAATATTGGTTTGAATGTACAATTGTGCAAGAGTTCAATGTTTTATTAATATGGCAAATCTCTTTTTATTTCTTGTTTAATATAGTTACATTTCAAAGAGATTTATTTGTCAGTAGATTGCTTTTAGATATTAGTTTTAATTATCATTTCTTTACTATGAGATGGCAGATATCTGCATTATGGAAAAATAGTATGAAATAGGTGAAATTTGCCCCCAAATTAAAGATTTTAATAGCATGCTTTTACAAACTTCAAATCATTTGAGTGAATTTACATAAAACTCAAGTAGAAATATAAGTACTGTCCTCTGTTCCCCCCAAAATTATCTGAATTGTTTTTTAACCACAAAATACAATGAACTAATGAATGAGAACATGACATTGAAATTGACTGAAAGGAGACTGTAATCCAGAGTGAAACTATTAGTTGGTTTTCATTATCCAGAGTGGGAAAAATGCAAAGAGTTAAAACAAGCAGCATTAACAATGAGAAATGGTGTGTCCTAGAGAATGAGGAGCTCCTTAAATCAAAGCACTAAGACTCATCCAACATCTCTTCCTTCCTTCTCACGGTGACCAATATCATCATAAGTGGGAGGGGCAGTTGATATGAAGCTACTAGACAGACCGGTGACATTTTCTTCATTTGTCTCTTTCGATTTTGCAGTGCTTCTTGCACTATGACAGGCTGATGGAAGAATGGAGCACAAATCAGGACAGAGGTAGATGGCTAACAGGCTGCGCTGGAGATTGATCTTCTGGCATTCAATTTAGCAAGTTTAGTTAAGACCTATTAAATCGAATGCTGAGGGTGGTTCTGATCAGCACCAGAAGTCCTGGCAGTGGAGTAATGGAAGCTGACAGGAGGGTTTGCTTCTGTTGGCCTCCCTTTTATGTATTTTATGTAGCTGGAATTGCATACCTTAACCCGACTTTCCAGGCTTAGTGTAGACCTGGCCTTAGAGAGGGCAGCAGCAGCCCAATATCAGGAGATGGTTTGAGTATATCAAGAACACAGGAGGTTTAGGCCAATTCTGGGGACTTTACACCTATGGACAGTTCTTTATCAAAGCAGCTTTTGTTAACTTCAGGAGAGAGCTTCACAGGTCGGCCAGAGCAGAACAGGAACATTTGGCCACAACTCCTCTTAAAGTTCTTCCTCAGTTCATGATGACGCATCCCCTGCAGAAGGATATCAGGGTATGTCCTGCATATCTGTTGTGCGATTCTTCCAACATCACTATCATGAGCCTGATTCCCATGCATGACAATGAAGGGAGGCAGTCAGAATGTCTGAGTCTTATTTAGACTGCTCTGGCAGTGCAAAGGAGTTTCAGCATAAATAAGAACAAAACCCAGGGGGTCTGCTTTAAAGAAAGGGATTATGTGGGCTTGGGGAATAAAATAGGGTATTTCTTTCACAATGGCAGCTGTTGGGTTCAGTTCATCCTTACTGGCATAGGAAATGTTACTTGCTCCTGCCTGTGCCATCAGGGACAGCTGTGCTCCAGAGAATACAATCTGGAGAAAGGGCATGCTAAAGAATTTTCCTTTGGAAGGCAGCTTTAAATTAAGTTGGGGGTGGGATGCAGAAAAGCCCATTGGCAAAGGCTGCCATAGGGTTATGTTAAATAAGTGCTCAAACCATGATCCGTGCTGCCCCTTTTGGGAACACGCTACCCAACTGCAGAACTCATTATGGGCTTTCAATCATGCTGGATTATTTTGGCAAATCCAGGGCTGAGTCTAGCCATGGGATTAATGCAAATTCCACAGAGTTTCTGGGAGACTGCAGCTGCGTGGGTTAATTTCATCTGGATCAAGCACTTAATACTGTAAGTAGTAATGTCTTCTAATCCTGCACTGTGAGCAGAAATTCTTTTAAAACATTGATGGGAAGGTTTGTCTGTTTCCTGTAACAGAGATTGCTGAGAGCTGGTTTATATTACAGGTTTTGTCATAGTTTCTGCTTCCATCAGTTCAATAAATCGATGCATGGAAGCAAGGTTGCAGTGATAATTATTCCGATAATCCTTGGCATTTTACAGGGCGTGCTATTATTTTTCACAGGCTTATTAGGACCTGCCTTTTCAAGGTGCTGTGTAGTTCTTGGGAGCTCCTTGGGTTCTTCAGTTCCCTGAAAGATCAGGGGACTGCACACCACGCTGGAAGCATCCCTGACCTGGTGGAATGGGCCCATTATAGCAGTTCAGCTCCTGTATCTTCTGTTGTTCAATTGTTCTTGTTTTGTAAATTTATTTTTTTTAAAAAGTATTGGGCAGAAAACTGAGATTGAGTAGCCATGGAAATAAATGTACAATGTAGTATCTATCCTTCCCAAGGTTATGTCTACACGGTATTTAAACAGATCATCTGGCAAAGGAAGGGACTGAAAATCCCTACTAAATTGGTCACCAGAATAATCTCGTTAATGAATCTGCTGGCAATCAGCAGTGGTAGTAGATCTGCCTGCCTGCTCCAGCCCCAGTACATATCCTCAGATTTTAAATTTGCTTGCTCTGAATCTAAATGTGTAAACTCAGTGCTGCACTCATCAGAGTCCTGTTGAGCTGCTGTCAGGACAAGTGAATGCTGCAGTCTTCTGGATAGAAACAGTTGCACTGGCCTGGGTGAGTGAGGCACTGTAGCTTTGATTGTTTTATACATCTGTGCCTTGCTTGCTGTGATGAGCCATCAGAAAATCCTCTCCTCTTTTTGCAGGCCCCAGTTCTGCAAAGACTGTACATAGGCCTAATCTGTGTGTGCTTGTGTGTAGAAGCATGTAAAATCCTGGTTAATTGGTTAACCAGTTAACTGTAATGTTTAATTGGTTAACTGGTTAAACATTATTTTTAACTGATTAACTAATTAAACAGGGTGTGGGGGGCACAGCACTTTGGTCAGGCTTGAGTGGGGATGCCACGTAGCAGGGCTGTGCCCCTGCCCTGGTCTGGGTGTGCTGTGGACCAAGGGTGCTCTGGTTAGGCTGGAGTGTCTCCTGTCCGTGGCGAGCCCTGCGGGGCTGGTGCAGTTCCCTGCCCACAGTGGGCATGGGGATGCTCCAGCTCTAACCAGTTATCCCATTAAACATTCACATCCTTAGTGTATGGAGCCCTGCGAGGATCAAAATGTGCATCTGCATCTGTAGCTGCAAAAATGAGCTGCAGATATCAGCATTCACATCTGCCGATGCACAGTGCTCTGCATGTGTGTTCCAGAACGCCCTCTGTGCCTGCATGAATGAGGCTTTGAGTCTATTACAGTGTCATCTAGGGGCCTTATCTTCTAAGCACTAGCTGTAGAAACTCATGTTAAGTCCCTGAGATGGTTGCCATCACACCAGCATTGCATAACTTTGTTTTGTGAGTGTGGATTTCAGTGGGACTGCTTGCCTGCATAATGTTATGTATGTACTTAAGTTGTTGCAGGGTCCAAGTCTTGATGTTTAGCTAGAGCTGTGGGAGAACTGATAAATGTAAGTTAGTCAGCTTCTCAGACGTAGCACTTTTCACCAGTCAAATTCAAAGTCCTTCATAAAGGAAGTCAGAATCATTATCTGTGTAATACAGAAGGGGGATCTGAGGCTGAGAGAGGGGAAGTGACTTGCCCAAGATCACCTAGGAGTAATAGGGTTGCCAGGTGTCCGGTTTTCGCCCAGTCTGTTTTCTCTGGCCCTGTCCGGTAAAAAAACCCAGAAAATACCAGACATGTAAAATGTTTCTCAGACAGAAGGCCAGTGGGGACAATCTTCCCCTGCTGTGTCTGGCATGGGTGGGAGGAAACGAGGAGCGAGGGGATTCTTAAAGGCGCAGGGCCTTTTTTATTTTTTGGTCAACAACTTTTGTCTGCTTGGTTTTTTGTTGTTGTTGTTGTTCAGCTAAGTTTGGTCTCCTGTTTTTTTTTTTTTTTTTTTTTTGACATGTTTGGGATTTTTGGTGAAAGCATCTGGCAAGGTCAAGCTAGGCATGGAACCCATATATCCTGAGGCGCAGGCCCATGCAGTGTCCACTTAGCAACACAGCATTCCTTTATAGGTCTTTCTAAACTGATATCTTAGGCGAAATAAAGCTTTCCTGTCATGTACAGAAAAACTAATTTTTCATCATTATCATGATACCAACATTATCAGTTTGTTTCCTTTTGAAATCCACTTTCTGTAGAGACCTCATTTTTGCTGGGCAAAAGGGAAACTAAACAACTATTTTATTTTTGATGCAGAAAACCTGGTATGCTTGTAATGAGATTCTCTTAAAGATCCTTGCTCACAAGTAAAAAAAAAAAATGCAATTTAAGAACCTCTCTCCCCAAAACATCTTAATAAACAAAGGACTGAAGCTTTACATAAAAATTGGTGAAGGGATTACATGCTGTGATCATGTTTGCAAAGGGAGATTTAATTTCTGATCTTGTTTCTCGTGACGTGTTTTTTTCAAGTTACAGTATAATGCTACAACATTAGGCTTTGTACTATGACTATAGTCAACTTCTGGCAAAGAAAGTTGATTGTATTAATCAGTTGTGCATCAGCCAGAGATTGCTAACCTAAGGAGAAACAAAAGAGCACAGACTTCAAAATGTTGTGTTCAAGCCTGATTTGTGTGTGTGTTTTGTTTCAAACTGACTTACTATAAGACTGTGCAACAGTATTATCAGTCTGGCCATTGATTTCATCCAATACAGTGACATCTTTGCAAACATACTGGTGGGCAGGAGGAGGTGAGATGTAGCATGTTTAATTCTCTGTGATGGGTGTCTAAAGCTGTGTCTACCTTGCCCTGTTGTTCGGACTAAAGAAATGTGAATTGCAGAGTACACCATAGTGCTGAACTGTAGCTCGCCCATATGTCTGGCATGGGTGGTATGAAAAGGTAAGTAGTTTAAGTTAATATAGTCCTGTTTAAAGAGGACTACATTATCATGAAGTGGGTACCTTTCCAGTCGCGCCTGCAGCATCCGCCTAGGAACTTATTACACAGCTCTTGTATGCATATTTTAATTCACATCTGTGTAGTCTAAACGGCAGAACACTGTGACCCTGGCAGATGTGGAGGCTGGAGCTTATTAGCCTCTTCCAAGCTGGGTGGGGTCAGTGTTCTCTGCAGCGTCGACATATTTCTGGCAGGTAGATCACTGCTGTTGATGTTTATGGCATGCACTAGCTTGGTGGAATGGTAAGTTGAAATTTGTATGAAGGGGTGGCCATAGATCTGAAAGAAGCTCTGGGAAAGAACACCCACAGTCATTTTTTGTACTGAAGATGTGACCAGTTAACCAGGGATGCTTACTGGTTCCAGTTAACTAGTGGGAAGGGTTTTGCTCTATCTCCATGGGGGTCCACCATAGGCAGGGACAGCTCCAGATTTTACATCTCTATTTTATACAGGATGGTTACGTAATGAATTGCAGTCTAAATGTTCATTTCTAAAACCACTTACAATGGGCACAATTTGCAGTTAAGATTGAGATTTTCATGGCTGCCTAAGGAATTTGGACACCCATTTGTCAATATTTTCCACTCTGAAGTGATTGGTACAGTACTGTAGCCTCTCCTAGTGTATGTACAGAAAGATACTGCAATTACTGTAAGTTCCTGCGGTGTTTAATATTCAATCTTTAATGGGACTATTTATTATAAAGTCTGTTTGAATGAAATTTAATCTCTGTAAATCATCCTTTATTTTAAATCTCAGATGAGGTCTATTACTATTTTAATTCTGCATAAAAACTAGTGCAAACATCAGGTTATGTGTCCTGAGCATGATTTACCAACACCTTTGATAGTCTTCTAATGATCTGTTTCTTAATTAGATTGCTCTGATTATTGTCTCCCTGAAATATGTGTATATTTTAAGGTTCACAGGGCAGTAGCTTGTCAGAAAGACTTGAGTATGTTTTATTTTACACTTAGTATTTCTTGCAAATTGAAGTGCAGGACCATATGGTGTCACTTCTGAGGTAACACTCTTGTATAAATGTCTTTTCTGTAAAACATTCTGCAGAGACATGTAATTTTCTCCTGTGAAAACATTCGTAATATACGTAGCTAATTTTATAATAATAGTGTGGGCTTAATGCATGTATGTCACTCAAAACCTTTTCCTGGTTAGAGGTCAAATAATTAAATCATTGCTCCAATTTAAGATAAGATGAGCATTAAATGTTTGAAGTTTAAAATACCTAATAAAAAAGTAGTTTAATACAAACAGTGAAAACAGCCTAGGAAATCATAGCAAAATACACATAAGAAATTCTCTAAGAGCCAAGCTATTAAGGCTCATCCCCCATCATTTTACTTTTAAGATCAACACCTTTAATATGGAAATCACCGAGCCCTGGTCTACACTAGGGGATAAGTTCGAATTAAGATACGCAACTTCAGCTACATTAATTGCACAGCTTAAGGCAAAGTAATCCTAACTCAAATTTTGGCACTGGCCACACTGCAGGAAGTCTAAAGGAGCACACTCTCCCTTCAGCTTCCCTTACTCCTCGTAAAAGCAGGACTACTGGCATCAACGGGAGCACCCCTCTCAGTTTGAATTAGTATGTTTTCACTAGACCTGCTAATTTGAACCCTGGAAGATCGACTGCAGCTGCTTCAATATTACGTGTAGTGTAGACATGGCCTGAGAGACAATAGCCACAGGACCCCATGATGTCATTTATCTGAGACGAACCATGTTATAAATGATTCCTTCTTGTTTTGTGCTCAGTGTAGTTTTAAATATCCCATGTTCTGCACTGCATGAGCCATATTCAGCTTGAGTTGTCAGTGACCCATCAAGGATGAAACCTCAGAGAAAGAAATTTAGATATATGGGACTGGTCAGAGACACAGGTCAGACAGAGAGAAATAGATTTGCACGCCATCAGAATAAAGATGATAGTTAAATTTGAGTGAATGAATGAGGTTGGGTAAAGCCAAGCAGAAGAGTAGACAAGGACAAAGCCCTGTAGGTCCTTTGCAGAGGGAGTGAAAGAGAAATCTCCAAAAGATACACCAAAAGGGCAAATGGAAATGTTAGAAGTAATGAAAGCCAAGGGAGGAGAGAATGTCCTGGAGAAGGGGATGATCATCAATGTCAAAAATTGTGGGAAGGTTGAGGAAGCTGTGAGTAGAGTACAGGTAGAATTATGTTTGAGGGGCAGGGCAAAAAGAGGGAGTATCTTATAGTGGTGGAAAGGGGAAACTGAATGACATTGGGGAAGTCTCCTATTGATAGAGAAAGTTAAGAGTATAAATTAAATAGACTGCATTCTTCCTTGGTGGTTACCATGCTTCTTATGAAAATTTGCAGGATGAACACTGCCTCGCATTCTAAAAATTAAAACTGTATATTGTAAATGAAATGGCATTAAACTCCTTACTCTGAATAGCTCCAGTACTTGATGAGATATTCTTTTGCTTCTTAATAATGTGATATGCATATTTGTATAGAAAGTACAGCTAAACAGTAAGGTCATGTCTACACTGCAGGTCTAAAGCCGAAATAAGCTATGCAACTTGAGCTATGTCAATCGCGTAGCTTAAGTCGAAATAGCTTATTTCAGCTTTTGGGCCTGTCTACACAACAGGAAGTCCGAGGTAGAGCACTCTTCCTCTGACTTCCCTTACTCCTTATAAAAAGAGGGCTACAGGAGTTGGAGTAAAAAGTTCTCTGGCTTAACATTACTTCCATGTTATGTTGAAATAACTGCTTGTAGTGTAGACGTGGTTAATGTTATTTTGTAATAATGTCAGTTATTTCGAAATAACACTGCTGTATAGACATAACTGAAGTGGGATTATAACGTTTTCTCTCAAAAGTGCTGACAAA